CTCTCAGTTAGCGTGACCGTGACCAAGCACAATTATACCTAATCGTTGGACCAAGCGAAGTTAACTGTCATGACGTAATCTACGTGCGATGCACAAAATGATGCTAAAAATAGCGTCGTTTCAAGCAGGCGCACTGCTATTTCACGGATCTACTAACCTGTCTTTTTAACATTAATTCTGACACCTCTCGCGTTCACTATACATATTGAATTGACAGACGCGATCGGCCTGACCGCAGTGGGGTACCAAAAAAGTAGAGCTTAATACGTATATATATATATATATATATATATATATATATATATATATATATATATATATATTAATATATTAAAGTTAATTTATATTATTAAGTTATTTATATGTGATTTTAAAATAATGTGCTATGTGATTTTAAAATAATGTGCTCTTATGAAATTTAACTGGGTGTTTACTGCACAAATGAACCAATGGAGAAACCGCCCCTGGAGGTGGGAAAGTGGCTTCGTTATTGTTTCGGGTCGGTGTTCTTAAATCCAAATCGAATAAGCGATTTTTTGTTTTTGATATACTAGAAATTAAACCAAATAATGACAGGTTAACGGCATTTGCAAATTATTTAGTAGACTATTTTATTTCTGAGGAAGCGATTTTTCCACCCCACATTTTGGCTGACACCTCCTCTGATTTAAATAAAACCACAAACGCGTGTGAAACTTTTCATCCTCACTTAAACAATCCTTGTTCATAGCTAAATAAAGCACAGAACATACTGTTGTATTTATTTCTAAATAAGTCTTGCATGTTTTAATTGATAAATTATTTAACTTTATCTATATAAAATACAAATTAGGTACGTATGACCAAATTCAAAAAGGTTTCTTAAATGCTGAAATTTTGTGGCAAATTTTTTTTGCATTAAACTAATATATAGTTTTAAGAGTAAAATAAAACACAGTGAACAGATTTCATGTACATGGTATTACCTCATCCTTAAATTTCAGCTTTCCCCTTTTTATTATTTTGCTTACAGTACCATTAGTAAAAATAGTCTCATAATATTTGAAAATATCTTCTAAAGAGTATAAAACAGAATCATCTCTAGAAAGTGCTTTATCGGCAGGAGAAACGATATATATGCTGCCACTGTTCTAAATGTTTAGTATCCTATAAAAAACATTTACAATGACACAATTGGGGTAAAAAAAAATAACAGTAGCAACTCTTTATCTAACATTAAAACTCTATAAAAAATACTTTTGCTTTTCTAGTAAGTTAAATTTAATACATAATTATTGTTGTTTGTAAGTTTAGATATGAATACATTATTTTTATTATATTAGAAGCTTTAAAAAGACATTGAATTGATTTTTTCTTGTGTTTTCTTTAGTTTTATATTTGATTTTTATCCTGTTTTACAATCTGGAACGACGTAAATCTTGCTTTGATGTTTTTTGTCACTCATGTTACTTTTTTTCACATTATTTTGATTATTTTCACCAATTTTTTACAAAATCACTTCATTTTACATTGACTTACATAGAAAATTGACACCACTGTCATTCGACATGCCAACTACAGTCAATTTCGCGAACTTTATAAAAAGAAGACGGAAATTTGAAATTTGACCATTGCCGATTCGCCTCCTTCTCTCTAGTTAGTCTTCATATGTATAACTCATGTCATTTCGTTTTTGTAGGCCTTTTTCTTTAGATAGATAGATATTTAAATGGACATCCTTCATCCTGCATGGTAGATATATAGTTTGTTCTTCTTCGTATTATTTTTTGCCGCTTGTTGCATGTGCTAGGTCAGAGACATCTGTAGAGTAGAATCATTATCACCTGATTTACTGCTGCATTCCCTCTTGGGGCTCACACAGAAGGTCAAGGTATCGCCAACCACCCTGCCACGATCAACTTTCCAATAAGTTCGTTCCATTACTATTATACAATTGCAAGTCTCTATAATAGTGTTGGGTACCCTCCTGGATGGCAATATTTTACTGAAAAGAATTTAATAGTAGTCTCCGGTTTTTAGATATAAATAATAATAATGTTAGAAGTTAAATGAATTAACTTCAAAATTATTGTTTTTAACTTATTTATCACCCTATATACTATAACACCCTGTATAGCAACTTCATAAAACACGTGTTAACATGGTTTTAAAATGTTTTATGAATATCTCGTAATGTAATTAATTAAGAAGTAAAATAAAGAATGTCTTTAACGGCATATTGCCTATCACTTCATAGCGTTCGGCAGGTCGAAACTCCAGTCACCGCTCTCTTCTGGTCCTGGACACTGAAACGGGTAGACGTGGTATTGTCGACCCCAGTGACGGCGATATCCTAATTCGCTGACTCTAACAGAGCAGACGTTGTACCGTCGACCCCAGTGGCGGCAATATCCTAATTCGCTGACTCTAACAATAATATACCTTTTTTTATAAAATAAAATTATATGTTAGACAACTTACCTGTAAACACCAAGGGGTACCATTCGTTCATAGAATATATTCTCTTATATAATTTGCTTAATAAAAGTCAAATTTATTACTACAAGATTCAATTCAACTCTCCCCTACTCTTCGATAAATATTAAATACTTTGTGGTTAATTTGATCTAGCCAAAATCAAAAGTTATCCTTTTCTTTGGCTACTGTAAATCATATTATAAGCAGGTTTAAAACGTAATACTATGGTGAAACTTAAGGTCAGAGATTTTTATCACCTCTACTTTCTGTATTATGAGGTCCATATAAGTACATTTTGTTTATATTTTGATTTCGTATTGTTAAAATAGCTGAGTTTTTATTTGGAACCAAAAATACCTACAATACTGTCCTGTTTCTCTAGCTAAAACATCCTCGTTCCTCCTATGTGTTTTGTGGGCTAATCCGCTGACCTTGCCATTTTTATCTTATCGCGGCAGTAAATTTGTCTGGGCCATTCTTGTGCTTTGTCTGTTGGTTTAATTTGACAAATTTCATCACCCTCAATACAAGATGAACTAGCTTGAGCAGTCTCTGCTATTATTGATACTGATTATTGTTAACAAAAGGTCAAATAATGCAAAATAACTCTCAAACAGTGAACGGCACATTCATAGAAGATTGTTTGCTCAAAAACTAATCATCACATCACACTATCAACCGTCAAACCGTAAAAATATCAAAATGTGACAAATATTGTTATTTTTACAACAAACTGCATGAAAATCTGTGGTTTTTTTTTTCTAAACATCACATGATAGTACCTGGAATTTTATATGAGGCTGAAGCTAGAAGACAAACCGCGCGGCTGTCCCTTAATGTTTTGATATTGTTATTCGGCAAAATCTTTGGTTTAGGTGGACTTTAGTATCATGAAAGTTTTGAAATAAATAGAAATTAGTGTATTTATTAAAAAAAAAAATAATAATAAATGGATTAATTCAATTTGAATTATTAGTTAAAACAAGATAATCTTACAGAAAGGAGAGGATAAAACAAACATATTTACAATGCGGTTATAAATATAATTTTGATATCAAATATTCATTAGGTTTTTGATAAGTGATTGAACAAAAAATTATGGCCGAGCAATGATTTAAAATATACTATTTTTATACCAATAATTAAGTACACTACTAGCGATAGAACAAATAAAAAATCATCTAAATATAGTTTTTATGTCTTTAAAGTCAAGCGTTTTTGCGAATAAATATTACTCAACCAAACCAACAAAACCAGCATTTAATACGAGATTCCAAATACTTTTTTTATACCAAAGATTCAACAAACAAGTATAAATCAAAAAAATAATAAATCATCAAATAGCAAGACCTCTAAATACATTTTTTAGGTCTTTAAAATTTGGCGGCTTCGCGGAAAAACATTATTCTATCAAAAACCAATATTTAGCACGAAATTCGAGATATAATTTTTAGTACAAATGATTTAATACATTAGTATCATTCAAAAACACAATAAATCATTATATAGCAAGATCTCTAAATACGTTTCTTTTAGGTATTTAAAAATGCGCGGTTCCGTTGATAAACATTACTCTTTCAAAATAGGAAAAACCAACATTTAGCACGAAAATCTAGATATACTTTTTAGTATAAATGACTCCATACATTAGCATAATTCAAAAAAATAATAAATCATTTAAAAACACGATAAATCATTACATAGCAAGATCTCTAAATAGGTTTTAAATTTAAAACCAACAATTAGCACAAAAATCCAGATATAATTTTTAGTATGAATGACTCCATATATACATACATTAGTTTAATTCAAAAAAATAATACATCATTACATAGCATATCTGGATTTTCGTGACAAATATTGGTTTTTGTCATTTTGATAAAGTAAGGTTTATCCGCGGAATCGCGCTTTTTAAAAGACTTAAAAACATATTTGGAGGTCTTGCTATGCATTGATTTTTTTTTTTTTTTTTTTTTTTTTTGAATTATACTAATGTATGGAGTCATTCGTACTAAAAATTACATCTGGATTTTCATGCTAAATGTTGGTTTTTCTTATTTTGAAAAAGTAATGTTTATGGACGAAAAAGCGCGTTTTTAAGTACCTAAAAAACTTATTTAGATATCTTGCTATACATAATTACATATAATGATTTATCGTATTTTTGAATGATAATAACTGTTAGGTATTTACGCGTTTTTTCCTTATTTTATATTAATTATTTTTTGTTGATATTTATCATAATTAATTGGATGCTAGCCCTTAATATTTTTATCAAAACAGTTTAATCTATTTGATGCCAATATTCGGGAATTACTCGCGTCGGCACACATCTGTGCGCTTGTAAAGGACCTTTTTGGAGCAGTACCGTATGAACCGCTAAAGTGTCCGTACTGCAAAAGTGAAATATTTTGTTATTCGGTGTTCCGCTTGCCCAGAAGAAAACGTGTAGGGGCCCCTCAAGAATTCAAGAACGCAGACATACCACTAGGTGAGTCTCCTTATGATATTGGCCTCTTCAGAATTTTCTTTTTTCCTGTTATTTAAATTTTATAATTTAAACGACCGCCTAATGAATTAAGGTTCCCTTGCATCCAGAACTGAGCTATATTTATTATATATCCATGTAGAGCATTTTCTTCGGTGCGATTTAAAGTCATACGTTGTTCAACGACCAATGTGCCGATATCATCTGTATTGTCTTCCCTGAATGGCCACCTACTATGTGCATGAACGATCATTAATCCAGCAGACATTATAAGCTTAACGCGTTGTACCACAGGGTTCGATTTGTGGTCCTCTTCACGAAATACTCTCGATAAAATGCTATTTTTGCCATACATTGAAGTGTTCCGGGACAGCTCTAATATTAAAGAAAGACAGGCTGGATAGAATGTCATAAAAACGATGTAATTGACTAATACTGATAGGCACGCAAAACATGATAGCATTTCAAGACGATGTACCCCAGAAAGTGTCCCGACTCCAATAACTAGCGTTTCGACAATAGTATCCAACGTGTCTTTCTTTAATATTAGAGCTGTCCCGGAACACTTCAATGTATGGCAAAAATAGCAATTTATCGAGAACATTTAGTGCTGAATCATTTGGTTTAAAAATTATACCTGGATTTTCGTGCTAAATATTGGTTTTTGTCATTTTGATAAAGTAAGGTTTATCCGCGGAATCGCGCTTTTTAAAAGAACTGAAAACCGTATTTGGAAATCTTGCTATGCATTGATTTATTATTTTTTTGAATTATACTAATGTATGGAGTTATTCATACTAAAAATTATGTATGGATTTTCGTGCTAAATGTTGGTTTTTCTTGTTTTGAAAGCGGAACCGCGCATTTTTAAATACCTAAAAAACGTATTTAAAGATCTTATTACATAATGATTTATCGTAGTTTTGAATGATACTAATGTACTGAATCATTTGTCCTAAAAACTATACCTGAATTTTCGTATTAAATATTGGTTATTTTCATTTTGATAGAGTGCGGTTTATCCGCGGAACCGCGCTTTTTAAAAGACCTAAAAAATGTATTTAAAGGTCTTGCTATTTGATGATTTATTATTTTTTATTGATACTTATTTATTGAATCTTTGGTATAAAAAATTTATTTGGAATCTCGTATTAAATGTTTTTTTTTGTTGGTTTCGTTAACTTAAAACATGCGCGATTCCGCCTAAAACTTACTTTATCAAAATGACAAAAACCAATATTTAGCACGAAAATCCAGGTATGTTATGTATTGATTTATTATTTTTTTGAATTATACTAATGTATGGAGTCATTCATAAAAATTATATTGGATTTTCTTATCTTAAAAGAGTAATTTTTATCAGCGGAACCGCGCATTTTAAAATACCTAAAAAACGTATTTAGATATCTTGCTATGTAAATATGTATTGTGTTTAAATGATATTAATGTTACTGCATTACTTGTCCTAAAAATTATACCTGAATTTTCGTGCTAAATATAGGTTTTTGTCATTTATGGCTTGCCAGACATGTAAAATATGAGGAATGAATTAATAGAAACAACATTGTAATAGTTTAGTCCCCACTTGAAGTTCCTTTAAATAAATAAAAAATAAAAACAAATAAAAAAAAATTAAACTAAATAAAAATTATTAAAAAAAAAAATAAAAATAAATAAAATAAAAAAATAGAGAATAAAAAATAAATAAGAAAAATAAAATAAACTAAAAAGAAAAAATAACAATAAAAAATTATCTGGATATCTGATTTTTGTTGGACATATATTTGGTTTTATTTTAAACAGAACTATTGAATTATATTTTTTCTCATGACAATTGACAATTTTTATTTAATTTATTTTTATTTATTTTCATTTATTTTTATATTTTTTTTATTTTTTTTTATTTTTTATTTATTTAATGGACATTTTTTATGTCGGACAAGTCAAAATTTATGAATGAAAATTGTTATAACTTGAAAAAACAAATAAAAAAAATTCTGAAAACAAAGTTTATATTACTGAGACCCTTTCTATGGGGCCTCAGTATTGCATTCGTGCAGACAAAAAAATTTTCTTACCCCCATTTTTGAAAACTTTTTTTCATGTTTCCGAAAATGCAAAAAAACTTTTTTCGTCTGGTAGTCTGTGTGTGTGTATGTATGCCGCCACGATAACTTTAGAACGAAAGTTCTGATTGACTTGCGGTTATGATTTTCTTGAATAATTATTTCTAAATTAGAACCCTATTGATTTTCAGAACTTTCGGTTCATCCTAACTACTTTAATATCAATTTTCATAAAATCTGCCTATGCATTTCTTATATGAATAATTTTAGGAATTCCAATTATTTCTAACATCTAACATTCCTAATATTCTTTACATTCCATACATTGCAAACATTATCCAATTTCTAAGGCAGGTTGCGACCATGGGCGTCGTTATACAATTTTATAGGGAGGGGCAAAATTTTAAAAAAATTTAGAATGTTTATTTGTTGAAAAACAGAGAAAATGAAAAATAAAAGAGCAATACAAATTAACAAAAGTTTTTAATAAATAATACCCAACGAAAGAGACAAAGAAGAAAAAAAAACAAGAAACTTAAAACACATATTTTTAAAAAACAAATAAAAGAAAAATATGAACAAGAAGCCAGAGCCATACATTAAATAAAAAAAATAAAATATTTATAGAAACACAAAAACAAAAAAACTCTCTCAAACACGTCGACGAACACTAGGAAAACGCAAATTTTTAATTTATTTTTCCTCTACCTAAAATAATCGATAACAGAAAACATGATTTCTTTTTAGTTTTTTGCGATTATTTTTCGATGTACGCTCATCCTGCAAAGCGCAGTCAGCCTATTTTCATTCATTATTCGCTGTGTGCGTGACAGCAGCGCCAACTAATTTATGATCTAATTGACGATATTTGCGTATACGGACAATACAATTTTTAATGTAATTTCTTATTAAAAAATATATATGTTGATTTTAATAAAAGTATATAGATTTATAAAACAAGTGAAAAAAATAATTATATATTTTTACTTCAGCTAAAAAAAAAGTAGTATAATCAATAAAAATCAATAATAACATATAGGCAGGCAACAATATTTAGGAGAAAATGTATGATGTTACCTAAGCCTAATAAGTTGTCATTGAAGAAAAGGTTAAATAATGTGAAAATAAATACCATTATATAATAACGTAGTATCAAAACGTATTAACAAAAATAATTGGTAAATTTGTGATTGTACTTTATATTTTCTTTATTTTTTGGTTCGAAAGAAGCCATAGAAATTAATGATTGAAATTGGTTTCCTATCAATAAGTCACAAGATTGCATTTCAGCCTTATACAATAATCAAAGGCATAAATCTAATCCTTGCTCAACATTTAAGAGTTAAGGGATGTTGAACAACATTGTAAAATGATAATTTATTGTTTATTTAAAACCTTTCAATTTTCTGATCTCTACTATTTCTAATATTACTGTTATTATTACAAAAATAAAATAAAATAAAAAATAAAGCTACTGAAAATTTATATAATTTACACTGTTTTTTCTGCTAGTATTTTTACAATTTACAACACAGCAACTGTTATTGCTTTATCGCCTTGGACAAATTTCGCTTGTGTTTGATTTTGTAGATTTTATTGTTTTTTCGTGGTTTTTAGTAGCATTGCAGCATTTGGTTTTTTGTCAAGTCAACTAGTGCCAAAGACATTATAAAAACATCTTTTAAGTCACTTGTCTCATTTACACAGAATATTTAATTTCTGTGCTAATTTCACGTAATAATACTTCAATGCGCATGCGCCTATACTTAATTTAGTACTAAAAATTGGTATCGTTGCTAAAGGAAAAAAAATATTTTTAGTTCTACATTAATAACTTAATTTAGGGTTAAATTTTAGTACTTAATTACGCGTTGTAAAGTCGTAAAAGCCAGGGGGGGGAAACTGCCCCCTTGCTCCCCCCAAACGACGCCCATGGTTGCGACCTTCATAATTGCAAACATAGCCATTTTGGAGACTATTTTTATTCGAAATTAGTCGCCAAGCCTACCAATTTATGAAAAATATATAAGCAGTTTCTTAAAAATGACTTTTTTGTGGTGATGCTAACTTAGACTTGGCTATTTCGCCCATAGCCACAAAAACACCTTCATCAAATTTACTGGCTCTCAGTTGCAACCCGGTAGAATAATTAACCGGTCATTTTATTTGGCAAAAATCAAAATAATGCTTGGCTGTGTCTGTCAAGTATCAAGATGTCAACTGTGATGTTTGAATGGCTCTTAAATGTCAAATTATTTAAAAATGTTTGTAAACTTCTTTTGATATTTATTGCAAATAATTTGTAGTGTATCTCAATTCAGGTTTTCCATAAATAAAGGTACAGTAAGACAGATAATATAATGTTCTTATACAAAGCACTTTTTTATTATACTCTTTTATATAATGCTGGTTTTTTGTAGATAAATTTAATTATATACGATTTTGGATTACATTAAGGAGTTGAAGTGCAATATAATATAGTTATAGTTCACATTATACCATATCGCAAAATAGATTCAATTAGCGAATTGTAAATAATAATTAGTAAGCTCCTAGTCATAAATTTCCTCAAATGCTAAATATGTTTAATTTTATTTATTTTTTATTCTCTATTTTTTGTATTTTTTTTTTAATTTTATTAATTTTTTTTTTTTTTAATAATTTTTATTTAGTTTATTTTTTTTATTTGTTTTTATTTTTTAATTATTTAATGGAACTTCAAGTGGGGACTAAACTGTCGCAATGTCGTTTTTATTAGTTCATCCTTATATTTTTCGTGTCAGGCAAGCCATAATAAGTTCACTTCAAAATTTACTTTAGCATATAAAATCGTATAATTTAAAAATTTATAAATTAAAATTTTTTTAACTTTAAAAATAAATAAAAAAAAATTTTTTCTGAAAGGTTTATATTTTTCTGAATAAATAATAAACAGAAACTACAAAAGTTATTGAATTTTCAGCTGGATATGATTTTTTAAAGTCATATATACCTTCTCTTAACTTCTAATCATCCTAACTTTAATAGTTTTAATAATTTAAAAAAATGCTAAATATTTTTTTTATATAAAACTTTATGCTTTACAATTTTTATTTGGAACATTTTTTTATAGCACCTACCGTTTTTAAATAACCTTAAAAAAAACACTATTTTCTTGTTTGCGGGGCCTGAAAAACAAAATTTTTTTACATATCGTTTTCAAATAGTCTAAAGTGACTTATATCAAGAATTCCCGTATTTCCTCTAAAATTTTGATTTAAAGGTCTATTTAATTGTAAGCTCTGACTGTTATTGCCTTTTTTTGGAAATTTGTCAATAAAAATGTATATATTTGTTCTTTTTTGTTTCTGTAGATTTGTTCATATATATTTCGTGAAAGACTGTTATATTTCGACAG